ATGGCTCTTGAGAATTGGAAGATTTTGCCATTTGAGTTTGCTCTTGGCATCTGGGTGCAGGATTAAAGTCCTCAGCTTCCTGTTCCAGCTTCAATGCCTGCCGATGCCTGCCCATTGACATACTTCCCTGCTGTTGTGGTGATGGGCTCTTATCCCCCTGGAACTCAAACCCCAAATAAGTCTTTCCTTTTATGAACTGCCTTGGTCGTGGTGTTTATCACAGATGTAGAAGGGTAACTGATAAAGGGGCTCACTATGGCTCTGTAGACCAGCTAGCCTCAAACTCAGAGATATACCTGCCTCTGCCTTCTGTTAGAGAAAAGAATGTAGCACCACTCTTGGCTGTAAGTTATTTTGTTGTTGTTGTTGTTTTGCAAGACAGGGTTTCTCTGTGTATCCTTAGCTGTCCTGGAACTTGCTCTGTAGACTAGGCTGGCCTTGAATTCAGAGATCTGCTTGTGTCTGTTTCCCAAGCTCTGGGATTAAAGGCGTGTGCCACCACCTCCTGGCCATAAATTACTTTTTGATTCTACATTTTATGGTCATTTGATGGCTTCCAGTTTTGCTATTAGGAGCAGCTATTTCCAATATTATTGTATATAACATAAGAGTTTTGCTATATACCTGGAAGTGGACTTGCTGATTTACACGGTAAATGTTTCATCAGCTTTATTAAATAAGGCCAAATTATTTTTCCAGAGTGGTTGTCCAAATTTTTGTTGTTGTTTTGAATTTGGAAATTGACTCTAGAGCTTCACACATGACAGGGTGATGGTTAATATTGTCAACCTGACAGGATCTAGACTCATATCTGATTATCCCTGGGAGGGATTATCTAGGTTAGGGTAATGAGGCAGGAAAACCTACCTCAAATGTGAGTGGGCCACTCCTCAGGCACAGGTCCTGGGCTGGATAATAGGGGAAAGCAGGCTAACCACAAGCAGCACTCTGCTGGCTGACCACAGGCACAGTGCTAGCCACACGACTTCTCTGCCACAATGCACTGTCCTTGTACTGTGAGCCAAACACACTTTCTCCTTACATCATGCCCTCAGCCCTTTTTATTTTTTTTATTTTGAGACAGGGACCCATTAAGTTGCTCAAACTAACTTTGCGCTCACTGTGTAGCTCACTGTGAGCCGACTTTGAACTTCCAATCCTGTAGCCTTAGTTAGACTCCTAAGTAGCTGTAATTACAGGCCTACGCTATCAGGCCTAGCATGGTTGTTCAATTTTTAATACTACCAACAATACCTATGTTCCAATTTCACTTTCTCTCTAACACAGTATTTTAGACATATTTTTTCCTAACATGGTACATATAAATTAAAATTTTAGAATATTGCTATTTGGTGAATGGATATTTTGTGCGAAGCATTGTGTTTGACAGTGACTGTTCAGCTAGAGCCAGCTGCTCACCCAGTCTGAGCATGCGTCGTATTACACTGCAGCTAACTGGAAAGAAGAGTGAAGCCGTTACATTAGAGAAAAAATGAAAGAAGGTGAGGGGGAAAATGGGTTCTAGAGGAAAACAGGAAGAGATGGATAGTCTTACAGTTCTTCTTCCTCAGCCTCGTAATGGGGACCAGTAATGTATCGTGTTTTTAATTATCCCTAAGTATCTCTGACAAACTTATTCCTAAATTGCTTTCTCCTTTCTGCTTCTATCAAATTTATTTCTTCATTTTTAAAAATCATTCGCAAAAAAAAATTAGGCAGGAACTAGTTGATAGCATAGACATGAATTAGTAGCAGACTACAATAAAACCCACATTTCTAGTCCCTAGTCCATTCTCTGTTCTATCTCTTTCTGTTTTCCTCCAGGACCCATTTCTTCCTTCTCCCCCTTACATTCTTTCATTTTTCCTCTAACTTTATAGCTTCAGTCTTCTTTCCAGTTAGCTGCAGTGTAATACTACACACACTCAGGGTGGGCGAGCACCTGGCTCCAGCTAAACAGTCTTTTCTGAGGCCACACCAGACTACGTGCTAGCCCTCTCACAGTGTGTGCTGTCTGTGGGGCTTCTCCTTCTATGATTTCACAGGGCTAGAGAGCGTCCAGACTTCAGACCATCCCTTTATTTAGTTATATAACTTTAGCTATGTGTATATATGTGTCACACATATGTACGTGTGTGCGTGTGCGTGTGTGTACTCACACAGAGGCCAGAAAAAGGCATTGGATTCCCTGGAGCTGGAGTTATAGGCAGTTGTGAACCACCTGATGTGGGTGCTAGGAACCAGACCAGTCCTGTGCCAGGTCAGAAAAGCTTCTAACTGCTGAGCATCCAGCCCTCATACTTTTTAATATATTTACTTATTAATTTTGTCTCTGTGTGTATATGTGTACACACATGTATGGAAGTCAGGGGACAATGTTGCGGACCTGGTTCTTTCAGATCTTTCAAGCTTGACAGCAGGAACCTTTACCTGTTGAGTCATCTCACTGGCCCAGATCATCATAGTCTTTGTTCTCCATTTCAGGAAGGCTACCATGGAGGTGTGGTATCCTGAATAAGAATGAGAGAAGGCCCCCATAGGCTCATGTGCTTGAATGTTTGGTTCCCAATTGGTGGAACTGTTTGGCAAGGATTGGGAGGTGTGTTCTTATTGGAGGAGGTATGTCCCTTTGGGTTACATTGAGGTTTAAAAGGACTCATTCCATCCCTAGTGTCGGCTCACTGCCCTGCCTCTTGCTTACAGATTAAGATGTAGGCACTCAGCTACTTCTCCTGCACCATGCCTGCTGCCATGCTCTGTGACTGTCACGATGAATTCTAATACTTTGAAATCATGAGCCCCAAGTATATTCTTCTATAAATTACTTTGGTCATTATATCTTATCATGGGCCATGGACAATAGACAAATAGAAATGTAACCAATACAGGAGATGAAAACTCTCAGAGAATGGACTCAGTACATCAAGAGCCATGTCTCAGAATTGCTGATATTAAACAGATTCTACTTCATACCTAAGAGCTTTACTCTAGAGGATGGACTAAAGGATTTATACTCCATGCAAGTTTTATTTGACTTGCATATTTAATTTTCTTTTTAAAAACGTTGATACTTGGAGCTGGCAAGATGGACCAGTAGGTTAGGGCACTTGCTGCCAATCCTGACAACCTGCATTCCGTCCCTGGGACCTCATGGTAGAAAGAGAAAACTGACTCTTGTAAATTGTCCTCTGAACTCCACATACATGCCATGGCACATACACATGTACACATGTGCACACACATGTGATAATAAAAATTATGAAAACTAAAAATCTTGACACTTTTATAGGAAGCTTGCATTCACCAATTTGTCAAAACATTCACCATTTCATTTCATTTCATTTCACAACTAATTTTATATGTCTTTTCATACAAGTTTCCTAATCTTGACTCATCTACAAGTGGTAACTTGTGGGACCTCAAAGAAACTGGTTAGAATAAATACATTTTATCTTTGGGTTATAAGTAATGTGTCAGTTTTCTCATACCTGAGAGATACTGTCTGAAATAAATATTTTAAGGGAAAAGAGCTTGTTTTGGTTCAGTCATTGATTCATAGCTGCTTGGACAGAGCGTCATGGAAGCAGGAGCCCGTGCAGAGGAGCAATAAGAAGTAAAGAGCAAGAAAGGCCTGGGGTCTGGGTCACCCTTACACCCATTCCCAGTGGCCTTCTTCCTGCAAGGCCCCACTTCTGAAGTTTCCAGAGACTCTTAAAGCAGCGTCAAGCATTCAGCACATGAGCCATGGAGGACATTTTATATTCAAACCATGGTGGATAGAGAAGGAGCTAGTCAAAGAACATACAAGCATAAAAGGTAATAAACTACAATGTTCATAAAGTTAAAACAAACGTGATTTTCATCTGAAAGGACAGAGGACTGGCCAGCAAGATGACTTGGTGGCTAAAGGTGTTTGCCACCAAGCCTGACGACATTAACTTGAACTGCAAAACCCATATGGTAGAGAGAACCAATTCCTGCAAGTTGTTCTCTGACCTCACAATTGTGATGTATACACTAATTAAAGAATTAATGTAAAAGACAGATTTCAAAAGACATATTTACTACTGAGGAGGTTGAGGCAGGAAGACGAAAGTTCATGACCTATTTGGGCTACAGTGTGAGTTCAAGGTCAGCATGGGAAACTTAGCAAAAAAAAAAAAAAAGAAAAGAGAAAGAGAAGAAAAAAAGGTCTGATGATACAGCTCAGTGGTAATATTTGCCTAATATGTATGAGACCCTAGTTTCAATCCTTAGTATTGTTAAGAAGCAGAAGGTAGGAGGAGGAAGAGGAGGAGGAGGAGGAAAAGGAGGTGGTGGTGGTGGTAGTGGTGGAAGTAGTGGTAATTGTTTTACTTAACAATGAGAGAACCAGTAATATGTTAACAATCAGTTAAAATGACAATTTAGAAGTTAAATTTGTATAAACTAGTCAATAAAGAAATGTAAGAAGACAGAGGCAAGAGGAATGGAAATTCAAGGCCAGCCTGGGCTACATAACAGGACACTAGCTCAGACAAATAAAAAGAAATATGAAGATTTCTGAACTGAATATAAAATGAGTAATGAGCTAAAGTACAATACAGCACAGACTTTGGAGTTATCTTTTACCTCAGGATAAAATGCTTGTATCTTTACTAGATAGAAGTCTACAAAAAAAAAGTCTGCAGTTGACCTCTGCTCTGGAGACCAGTTGATTAGAAAACTAACCCAGGATGTAGGCCCAGAACTGCACTAAGATATCACCCAGTAGTTTCTGGTGACTTCTCCTGACAGATTGTTGTCATCTGTAGGCTTGCTTGCCAAGATGTCTATTTCCCAAGCTCTAAAACTATCTTTATAATGAAGATAAATGCAGTGAATTCTAAAAGCTAGTCATATGTGTGAGAGGTAGATTATTTTGGGTTTCAAAGATGGAGTTGCAAGTTTCTTAAGCACAAGCGAGGATGAGATAGGATCAGTGTGGAAGGCCTCACTGCAGCCTCTTCATCTCCTTACAGAGACGCCGTGGGATTGTAGCTGGGACTGCTCTGCAGTGCACAAGATGGAAGACGAAGACAGACAGAATGCAGAAGGCAGGTGAACCAGAAAAGCCTGTACATCCTTACCGCTGCCTCTGAAAAGTGTGCGTGCGCGTTCCTGTGTGTGTGTTCCTGTGTGTGCGTGCACGTTCCTGTGTGTGTTCCTGTGTGTGTGTGCGCGTTCCTGTGTGTGTGTTCCTGTGTGTGTGTGCGCGTTCCTGTGTGTGTGTTCCTGTGTGTGTGTGTGTGTTCCTGTGTGTGTTCCTGTGTATATTCATGTGTGTATTCATGTATGTGTTTGTGTTTGTATGTTTGTGTTTCATATGTATATTCACATGAGTGTGTTTGTGTGTGTGTTCCTGTGCATGTGTGTGTGTATATTTATGTGTATGTGTGTTCATGTAAATATTCATGTGTATGTATTTGTGTGTGTTGGTGTGTGCATTCACCTTTGTGCAAACACATGTATATATATGACAGATCAACCAACTTACCAATCAAAATAGCAGCCCACCAAGAAATGGTCAGGAAAAGAAATACATTTTGCAGAAGAAAATACTTCATGGTTCTAAGCACAAGGTCCCAGTTTTGCTATATGAGAATTCTAATTTCAGTAGTTTAAATTTTTTAATTTTTATACCTTTACAGTATTTAGAAACTCACCAGGAAAAGGGCTGTTTCTTTCCCTCTTCCCATCCTTTATAGCTGCATCTTGCTAGCTGAGGTATTTAATACTGTCTTTTTGTGGACAGTTGGGTCTGGCTGGTGCTAGGAAGGATTCCAGTATCACTTCATGAAGTCATGGGTAGATCAAAGCAGTAAAGGGTACAGCAGGGAGCACACCCAGCTGTCTTTCAGAGCGGAGCTGCCTCGCTTCTAAAAAGTAAACTTTTGATGTGAAGTTTTACAGAAGCAAACCAAAATGACCTGGCAGACTTAGGATTCCTTTTGAGAATTGGGTAAAGTGCAGAGGATGGAGTTAACTTGCTGATTAAAGGCCACACTGTATTTTCTCTCTAACCTAAATCCTGACTTGGTTACTTGCTCTGTCCTCTTGGACAAATCTGTTTCTCTGTGCTCAGTGGGAAAGCGCTCACTGAGGATGTGCAGGTCCTGGGTTAGTACCTAGCACCGAACCTAGAGCCACTGGGTCACAGCTTGTGTGAGTTTGTAACTGGCTTCTTTCACTTACTGTTCTCAGGATCACTCTATGCTGAGCATGTAGCATTTTTTATTGTGTTTCTGTGGTCAGGTGATACTCTATTGTAGAGACTCCCCATAGTGCATCTTTTTGTCAGTAAAAAGGCATTGTTATTGTTGTAGTTTTTGGCTATTACAAATAACTGTTATGTCACATATTTGTACCCAGATTTTTGTGTGGCTACCTAATTTCAGCTCTCATTGGTCTTCACAGGTCACAGTTGGTTTTGGTGAGGAGATACTTTACATCTTTTTTCATATAATTTTGTTTTGGAGTCTTCTACAGTGAAAACGTATTTCATATTGCTTTGAATAATTAAAAAGACAGTGTAATCACAAAGGGAAAATAAATGGAAAGGTCAGAAAATAAGGGATAGAAAGGGGGAAAGAATGCAATGTGGGAGGAGGAAGACATGATACCATGCCATTTGGACAAAGTTCCTCAGAGGGCTGAAGTCACTGGAGAGGGTAAGAGCATGTGCTATTCTTTAGAGGGCCTGGGTTCAATTCCTGGCCCCCACACATCCATCACCTTACAACTATCTGTAACCCCAGTTCCAAGGGATCTAGAACTCTGATCTCAGTGGGCACCAGGCATGCACATGGTACACAGACATGCATGCAGGCAGAACACTCATACACACAAAATAAACATTTTAAAAGAATTAAACAGCATTAGAACTAGAAAACAGTCCAGTAGAACATTTAAATAAACACACAAAAATAGGCATTTAGGTTACACAACCCTGTGAATACACTAAAGCCACTGAATTGTACATTTTAAATGGGTACACTGTGCTGTGAGTTACCCAGTCATCCGAAGTCGCTAGAGCTAGTTTCTGGAATTATTTTTTCTTTATCTATCTTCTTAGAAATAAGTCTGATTATTTTAAAGTAATTGTTTCTTTGAAACTTGATTCTGCTTTCCCTCACATTGCTGTTTCTTTTTCTTTGGAATTTAAAAAGATGTGAGTTATTTTGTCTTGGATTATTTTCCTAGGAAGTCATAAGAGGTCCACTTGATGAGGACAGGAAAGGTGGCCTTTCTCACAGCTGTGCTTAGGGAAAGGCTGAGGATTCGTTGAAAATGGGAAGAAAGAGGGGAAATCATTTCAGACAACTACAGTGGGATTAGGAATTTCTTGCCCTCAATAGTACAGGCTGAAAATAGTACCTAAGGTTAACGCACAACTTTTATTGTTAATTGTTGCTCATGTAGGTTGTGGAATATCGTTGTTTGGAATCTCTCCCTTCCTGCCTCCCCTAAGTCAGACAACCCTACACAGAAGGGATTGAGTCTCAGCCCTGTTGGCAGTGAAATGACTTAGTTGCTGTCATCTAGGCACTTGGTTTCTAAGGGGTCTGTGTTATAATGTTCCCAGCTCCTAGTTTCCCTGCCTGGGAAGATTTTATGGCTGGGCAGCCATGACAATGATGTCTAGCAAGACTGATTTATCTTTACCACACTGATGAGAAGTCACTGGTCCTACATTCCGAATGAGGTGGGGATGGTGAACAGCATCCCTCCTGTCTTCTGTCGGAATCGTTCTGGATGCTTTTGCCCACTTCTGCCCCAGAGGTGAAAAGGTCTTCACTGGGTCATATAAGGACGTGCGGGGTGGGGGAGGCACTTCTGTTTCCAGCAAGTCCTGAATCATGCTCGACAGACCGTCTGATTTGTTTGCTCATTTGTTCTCAAGACAGACTGTCATTATGTTGCCCAGGTTGACACCAATTCCTACCTTCCCACCTCAGCCTCCAAAGTGTGGGGATAACAGATGTGCCACCAGCTGGGTCCTCAACCAGCTTTCTATGGACTCTGGTTAATAAAATAGGATTTTTTTCTTTTATGACATTTTTTATTTTCTTTAGGGCCTTATCTTTTTGTTTTATTTTTATTCCTTATTAACAGTGCTGGGACTTGAACCTAGGCATGTGCTCTGCCGTACTCCAGCAGGACCTAGTCTTTTAGCAGCTCACCTTGTGTGTTCACTGAGCTCACAGGAAATCAGCAAAGCTCTTAGGATGTTGGGATAGAGGCACAGGAAGACTGTGAGAGCTCAAGACCCAGCCTTTGCCTGGCTGCTCTGTGGTGATGTGGGTCCTCCCATGGGCAGAGGGTCATCACCCTCCTCGTTTGCCTGGCTGCTCTGTGATGATGTGGTCCTCCCGTGGGCAGAGGGTCATCACCCTCCACTTTAGAGTCCACACAGAAATCTGACCTCAGTCTGACCAAACATGTTTGTAAGCATCTTTTCATTTGTATGTTTGCTCATTAAACACATCTTCATTAACTCTTGGGCCTTTGAACTGAGCTGAGCAGTGGTATACTGAGATTTAAAGAAAAGAAAAAAGGATTAGCCAAGCATGGTGGTTCATGACTATAGTGCCAGGCCAGTGATGATATGTTTTTGTAATTATTTAAACTTGGCCTCTGGTTAAGCCAACTATCTAAGCTGTGGCAGTTCTGCCTAGCTCAGCTGCCATGTTTCTCGGCCAGAGGCCATGTGCGCGCCACAGCAAGAAATGGCCAGAAAGAAGCACCAGCCCTGCCACCCACGAGACTCCAGCATGGGAGATGGCTCTGCCAATCTTCCACACTGTCTCCGCAAGGCTGGACATTGCCCAGACCATTCCGCCATCCACGTGGACCCAGTAGAAAGATGAGACTCTAATGCTTAAAGATTAATCAAAGGCTTATATATTTGGTAATGATCAGTAACAAGATATCCATACAATCAGAAATGTAACCCAATACCCAACCTAGATATACCAACTACCTTTGACTGCTACAGACACGTGAACATCCGCCTCCATCTCCTCTCTCTCTGTCTCTCTCTTTCTGTCTCTCTGTCTGTCTCTCTCTGTCTCTCTCTCTCTCTGTCTCTCTGTCTGTCTCTCTCTGTCTCTCTCTCTCTCTCCCCTAGCTCCTCCTCTTCCTTTTCCTCCTCTCCTCCTTACTCCTCCTCTTCCTCTCCTAACTCCTCCCACATTTAGCTCCTCCTGCAGTGCTACATTGGTGGGCTCGCCTGTTCCATGACAGTGATGCTTCAGCAGTGGGCTTGCCTGTGCCATGACAGTGATGCTTCAGCAGTGGGCTTGCCTGTGCCATGACAGTGATGCT